AAAATAATCAGCCTGTCAAATACTGCTAGTGCCTTGTAAAAGTTCATTCACTCTCTTTTGCTATGGTCTGAATGTTTGTGTCCCCCTCCCCCCACCCAATTTATATATGGAAATCTTAACCCCCAAGGTGATGGTATTTGAGAGATGAGGGCTCTGTTTCTATGGAAAGGATTAACACCATTCAAAGGAGACCCTCTCACCCTTTCCAACATGTTACCAAAGAGCAAGAAGGCACTGCCATGAGCCAGAAAGCAGACCTTTATCATATGCAAAATCTGCCTAGATCTTGAACTTCCCACTGCTAGAAATTTGACAAATAAATCTCTTTTGTGTATAAGCTGCCCAGTTTGTGCTATTTTGTTGTAGCTGCCCAAAGGGAATAAGACATCTTTCTTTATCTTTACTCCCTTTTTCTAGACCCAATTAGAAGATTATAGTCAGGGCAATAAGAGGGTGGAGAGATTTTATTTAAGGGCAGTTTCCAAAGCTGGGAAGAACAGGACAGTATGTTTTAGGAGCAGATTATGGAGTCCCAATGTGAGCATTTTTCCTCACATAGTTGTTTCTGTTGACCATAAGGAGTTGAGAGTCAAGCAAGGAGATTATATGACAGTGGAAGGAGGAAAGAGATATTTGCTGTGCTTAGCATACAGAAGGGCTCCAACGTCCTCTTACTCTTTCCTATACTTGTACTTGATATTTTATCTTAAAAACAGAAATCAGAGTGGTCTATGTTGGGACTGGGAGGAGCTCTCACGCTTGGGCTCCATGGTTGCCAATCTCAGAGAACATCAACACACACTTGGCTACTGGAAGGCAGAGTGTAGTAGCTCGGCTGAATGAGGAGTGAGAGAACAGGGGGAGGAGGGATACACTTTATGAAGTTCCCTCTTTCTTCTCCTCCTTCTGTGATGAGAGAGTGTTTTGCACATTTGAAATCAAATTCGCTTCTTCCTTTGCATAGGAGCAGCTAGAGGAAACTCAGGCTTTTCAGTAAAGCACCTTTACTTGTCTTCCAGTTGCTGAGTTCTGAGTCTCATAAGCATTTCATGTTTCTTTCAAGCTACGAAGCTCAGGAGATAAGATTGGCCACTGTGGTCAATCTTACATCTAACATTTCTTTGAGATTGGAGCTCCCAGTTACTTGAGACCTTTCGTGTAGCCAAGTTGTCAGGAGCAGTGGCCCTGACTGCTCTGCTCAGCTGTTGCTCAGCCGCCACCCCACTCCCCCATGCTGGAACCATCACCACCTTCCCTTTTTAAAGAATATTGAAGAACATTTCCCAAGTACACTCAGTGATACTGTCAGATGGCAAGTTTGTAACCCATAGAATACCTGGAGGAATTATATATACTCTGCCTCATAAGTTTATTTTTTAGTTGAAGAGGAAAAGGGAATTGAATTTTAAAAACAATGTTCAAATCCTGACTCACTTCTCACTTCCAAAAGAGCCTTAGGTAAGTTTTAGTGTTTCACAGCCCAATTTTTCTCACTAGCAAGAAGAAGAAAGAACACTTCTGTTGTAGTATTCTGTACTAACTGATAACAGATATACAAAGTACCTACTACAAAGACGGATTTGTCCTAAATACTCAATATACAGTGTGATCAAAAAGTGCAGTGAATGTTTAAATTTTTAAAAAATTAGAGTAAAAGACACATGGCCATCAACCAATATCAAAATCCTCCCCGTTGCTGCAAACACACTTATGCCAGCATCCATGCCCCTTTCTGAAGCAGTTCTGGAAGTTCTCTTTTCTGATTGTCTTTAGTTGCATTGTTGTAGCTGCCTTGATGTCCTGAATCAATTTAAAAATGATCACTTTTTGTGGCCATTTCAACTTTGGGGAGGAGCCAGAAGTCACACAGTGACAAACCTAGTGAATAAGGTGAATGAGGACCCACTGTAAAGTTTTTATCTGTTAGAAATTGCTATAAACATTTTGAATAAGTTTAGGACATCAAGGCAGTCAAGGAAAGACACACATAAAAAAGGAATTCCAGAACTTCTTCAGAGAGCTGAAAGAATGATGGAGTGAGTGTGCTCAAACGGAGGGGAAATACTTTGAGGGAGGTTAATGGCAATGTTTCTTTTCCTGTAACAATTTTTTAAATTCACCATAGTTTTTGATCATAGCTTTTACAGAGATACTGAAACAATTACTACTGGCTTAAGGAAAGGCAAGAAGTGTGTGTGTGTGTGTGTGTGTGTGTGTGTGTGCTCGCGCACGCATGCGTGGTTCAGAGGCAGGGCTTTTGAGAAGGAAGAGAGGCAAGGAAGGAAGTTGAGACCAAAGCTGGGAATAGATTCTGAAGGTCTTTGGCTCTGAAAAGTTTTCATTTTAGTTACTAGATATTGTATCTACTTATCAGATTAGGTTAAAGATACTGTATCAGAAAAATAGTTCGTGATTTTGAAAAAAAAATCTGCTGTGCAGTACAGATAAAGAGATAACAGTTAACTGAGACAATGACTTGACTGGCAGTGGAGCTGGTTGTATAGGGACTGCAAAGTGTGGGAGTCAAGAACAAGGGTGCTGAGGCCAGCTGCCTGCACTTTCCTGGCTTGGCCATTTACGAACTGCATGACCTTGAGGAAGATGCTTAGCCTCTCAACTTCTGACTTTGCTTCTCTCTAAACTGGGGATGCTGGTAGTGCCTTATTCACAGAGTTGTAAAGCCCTCAAGGCAGTACCTGAGACATGATGAGCAGTTTGTACACAAAAGCATCATTTGTAGGAGAAAATAGGTTTCATTTGACCACAGACTGTGAGGGAGCAAGATCTGAGGCCCCTTTTTAAGAAGCTGAATGCTCTCTAACATTGGAACACGGAGGGAGGAAGGGAGGAAGAGGTTGGGGCTTTCGTAGTAAGCCTGCAGTCAGGAAGATCTAGGATGGGGATATAGCTTGGGAAGTGATGGGAGTAAACGCTGTTGCCTGATGAAACTGCAGACAAGAAGACTGGCCTAGAAACTTGGGGCATGCTTATTTTCTTCTTGGGGATTGAGGTCTATCATTGGACTAGGGAGGGAGCTGAAGGACAAGAAAAAGAAAACAGCCAACAACGTAAGTCTCAAATATAGAGAATTCTAAGTTTTAGAGGGTGGTCAGCAAGGTCAAAGACCAAAAAATTCTATGACTTTATCATCATACAATTTGCATCCCAATGGGCCACCTCTCTCATGTTTCCAGTAATAAGATTTGCCTTTTTGTCCCGATGAATTTCCAGCTGCTTTCTGTTTTCAGTCATGTAATGAATCCCAGACACATACATATGTCAACTGTATAGCAGAAAAGAAAGACTCCTCAGTATACCAGCACACGTGTGCTTAGACAAACACAGAACAGCCTAATCTGGGGAATGAATTAACTCAGCCAGAGGGAACTTTTTGTCCACACATTGAATGCTAATGGTTTTCTGTAAGTTGATGAAAATGATGCTAATCAGTTCCTGCTCTCTCCATACTTCACTGTTTCCCACTAAACCACAGAGCTTTTTGGATGAGCTTTTTTAAAAAAAATTTTGATCACACAGCAGCTATGTCATCACTAAAGGATCAGCTCCATTCATTCAGCTCTCAGGGTTACTACTCATATTCTTATCACCTGAGAGACAGGATTGCGGGATTGGGGCTCCCTCACTCTTGACTCTCATCAATGGGTGAGTGGAATCTTGGGCTCATCTGGTGGCAAGGCTTAGCTAATGTTCATCGAGGCCATCTCTCTGCTTCAGGGAAGGACTCTACATCAAATGCCTCAAATAAAGAAATTCCTTAGATTTTTAGAGAATAAAAATGTTTGTTTCCATTAAAAGAATAGCATGTTGTCTCACCGGCAGTCCTAGGTGTTCTGGGACATTGGAGTAGGATACTGAAGAGGGACTGAAGAAAATATGAGGATATGGCTTGTGAGAGATAAAGTTTATTAAGGTGTCAACAGGAAAGGGTAGGGTTATTTGAGACTTAGTAACCAAAAAGATAGAGTCCAGTGGCAATGGGCTGGACAGGAAAGTTGCTATAAGGTTCTCAGACTGTCCAATGGCCACTGGGTGGCCTGGTTGGACAGAGAAATCACCAGAGAGAGCTCGAAGTTCCTGGTGGTGGTGGAGAGCTTGGCTCCACTCTCAGTGTTTAATGGTGCTGGCTGGACTATCATACTCCACATGCTCTGTTCTGTACTCAGTTATTGCACGGAGGGTTTTTTTTTATACATAAAACTATGTAATGGTGACATCATTAACTAGCCTTGTTCCATTCTATGACAAGTATTCTAAGAAAGCGCTGACTTAGCATATGGACAGGAAGGCAAGTTCTACAGCACACACTAGTTTGGTCAGTGCCCCTGTCCATTTACAGTGTTCCTGTAACTTGGCAAGAGTCTTGGGAATATCAACAGACTGTCTCAGGGACATAGTGTTAAAGGCCATAGTTTTTCTCAGGGTTGTTACACCTGTCTTAAGCACCCCTGACCCACGCTCTTTTGAGCTGGTAGCTGAAGATGAAATAATATTGTATCACTGTCTTCCACTTGTAGCGAGGGGGAAAAAGAAACTGATAAACAGCACTGGAGAGGAAAAAGTGCTTTGGTGGTTTGAGGAGGTAGAACAAAGTAACTCTGTTTTCAAGGGGCTAATGAGATGAAACGATTGAAAACGGAGGAGTGATTATTATTGCTCCTACGACATATTTCCGAGTTGCTTTTGTTTTGGGTGGGAAAGAGTCAGATGTTGGAATATGAATTGAGAAATAATGTTGACAACAAGACTTTTTATCAGAGCACTGAAAAGAAGAAAGTTAGATCATTAAAACATGAACTCCATGTATATTTATTGTATGTGCATGATACAGAAGATAGTAGGAATAGAGCTGGCCTTGTTGGGAATGCCAGGTGCCCATCAGCATTTTCTGGAGGTGCTCTCGTCCTTCCCTCTGAAGAGGGAAAAGAGGCTGTGCCAAGAGTTGCGAATGATTCTTTGCTGTTCACATTCTGACAGAGCTCTTCGGAACCTTGCCTGAGCGATTATTTTGCTGATGCATCCAGCACTTTCCTCCTCTCACTTCCACTATTAGTGATGAAAACCAAAAGGGTGAGAATAAATTGTTCATTCCACAAGCCATTTGTAGAGATGTTTAGTTAATGGATAGAAAATGCATAGTAGTTAAATGTTAATTAATTCCTTTTTTGAGTAGCATATTCATTTTAGGCTATTTATGAGGGTTGTCTTGTAAACACATTCCTATTACTTTGGTTCAACCACTGAATTTCCCTAAGTCACTTATCCTAAATGTTCATTAATTTCAACCAGCTCTGGAGACGATATTCTCATCGAACATTACTGTAGAGTGCAACTCAAAAGCAAGGACCGTGTCTGCCTCGTGTTCTAAAAAATGCCCTCCAAGGAAGGAGAAGTGCTTGAGGGAGCTCCAAAGACAGGATTCAACAAAGGTAATGATGATGATGATGACGAGGGGGTAATGGGGATGGCAATGGTGGCAATACAACTTTGGATCTATTCCCTGATTTGAGGGAGAATGCAGATGAGAGCTGTGGTGCGAATGCCTTGTCTTCCCAGATGCACTGAAAGTATTTTGTGTTTTTAACAGGTGCACAGAGAAGATTCACCGGGGAGAGTTTGTAAAACTTGGAAGGGCAGCTGAGCAGTGAATGGACCGAATAGATTTATCCATCTGCCAGGAGAGTGAAATAAATCTGTAGCCAGTATAGGGAAAGGACTTAAAGGGAATCTGGCCTAAGTGCAATTACAATGTCAGTTATATGATTTTGTGTGATTATACACATTCTGTTTTCCTTCCTTCACCTGTGTAAATGGAATATAATTCTCTCCTTGGAGTAATCCCTTCCCTTGGAGTGACGCTTCCACCTAGTTTCTGATGTATAGGTTGGCGTCCAAAAAACGTTCTCATCCTCTTCATGGTCATCAGTTTTCCCCATGACCGTCAGTTTTCTCACCTGTAAAATGGGAAACTAATAGGTACATCAAATGTGATCACGTACATGGGTGCCCACTGTAAGACAGCATCTGTTGTAATTTTGCAAGAATTAATTATAATCTGGTGTAGTGTAGGCTTTTAGGAGTGAGTGGATCCTGTGGGAAGTCACTGCAAATCTATGGGCTTTTGCAAATTTCTCTGACTTTGAATACAAATTCAATGTCAACGTCATCCTCCTGTGGGGAGCCGCAGCTGACCTCGAGAACAAGGTCATGGAGAAGGCTAGAAGGTGAAAGCAGAGGGTGGGATGTAGAACTGCTCATCTGGGACTCAGCTGTGCCATCCTGGTTGTGGAGGAAATGTGGATTCATCTGTAGTCAGTTGAGGCAGGGGTGGGGGGCAGAGCACAAGAGATGGGAGTATGGAGGAGCTGCCAGGAATTCACGAGACTTTTCAAAGTTCATCTGCCTGGTGATTGCTACAAGTAGCACAGGGAGCTCTCTGGGTCCCAGCTTTGGAGAAGGAAGTTCTTGAGGGATGCCCAAGTGATTCCCTCTGAGGATGGCACTGAGATGGTCACTTCTTTTAATGGTCGCAGCTGGCCATTAAACAGTGCCTACAGCCTCCTTCAGCTGTCCTCAGCCTGACCACTTCTCCTCTGGAGGGAGTGGCATCTTGCAGTCTTGCAACCAATGTGGGGAGGGGAGAGACAAGGCTCTCTGGTGTAGCTAAGGATGATCAGTCCACATTTTGGCTCCCTATCAGCCTGGCCAGCATACAAATAATTCCTTTCTTTCCTGCCAAACTTCTTTATTGAAAAATTGAACCATCTTGTCTTTATTTTAAATTTTAAACAGGGGAATTAACTTCATTGGTTAAACCACTCTGGAGGAAGAAAGGGCTTTTTACCTTCGATGCTGTGACATCATCTCATCTGTTGCCTTTTAAGAGCCCCGTGTTTGGAATCAAGCCTCTTGGCAGCCTCTGCAGTGGGAGGCAGCAACTTTAAAATGAGAAAGAGAGAGACAGAGAGAGAGAGTGGGGAGGCCATAAATGAGCTGACTGCTGAAAATGAAGTGACATGGCTACAAAGCCGGCGACAAGAGAGCCAGAACTGGGGCAGCTGCTCCAGCCTTACGAGTCTGAGCTGCAAAGGCAGCCGGCTCCTAGTGCGTGCAAACTGCAGCAGATGCCGACTTGTGAATTAGAATTAGTGGCTTTTAGAACAGGGATAAGATTTGAAACTGTGTTGGGGTTAATGTGCTGAGGAATGACTGTTCTTTTCTTCCATTTGAGAGCCAGGGAAGTTGGAAACACCCAATCTAGGAAGGGGAGAATTTCTTTTATTGACTCTGCAAATAATTTGTTCTCTCATGCTTCTGGGGGCCCTTGAGCCTTTAGAATTTTGATCCCTACACTTCTGTCCCCAGTATCCGTCATCACTGTGGTGGTAGATACTGCTTTTCACTGCAAGGGGTCGTCTGATTCTCCTGATCCTTTGGGTGGAGGTTGCCAGGAAGCAAGTGTTGAGATTTGCATGTAGGAAGACTTCTGGGAAGTGTGCTGGGGTCACTACCTATGAAGGGTGAGGATGGCAGGCCTCGGAGAAAGGAAAAATAGAACTGTGTAGTTGCAGTGAGGTCTCAGCTGATACCACAAGTGTCTCTGCATCTCAGATGGCCCTTTTGAGCCACCTCAAATGGAATTGTTTGTAACAGCACTCCTCAGTCATCGGTTGTCAGCTGTCCCTGGGGAGGGACATAGCCTCCTTCTGGTACATCCCTTGAGCTATTCTTAGAAAGGAATCTGAATGCAAGACGTTAGCATCCAGCAGTGTGGTAGCTGGGAAGGTGCACCTGGTTCCCAAAGCTGAAGCTCCAGTGCACACCACGCATCCATGACACTGCTCTTCATCCCCTCTCTGTCCCCACCCATCTGTTCTCTCTGCTGTCCTCTTTCCAGCAGTAGCATGCTTGTCTCTTGCTTAGCTTCTGATTTCCTCAGATTCCTTCTGTGTCCCACAAGGGTCTGAGTCAGTGTGACTTTGCCTAGGTTTCCAGCCTTGTCTGTCTCTTTTTGGCTTCTACACTTCAGGCAAGGGACTCTGTACACACTGTTCTCGTGCTCCGCAATGCTCTATGTCCCTCTGCCTCCCCAGCAGAAGACTTTTTTTGTTGTTGTTGTTATCCAGCATCCTACCCCTCTTCCTAGTTTTTTTTAAAAAGATCTTTCTGTATTCTGCTCATTTAATGTTGGTTCTTAGGGTTACAAGTCTACTAAATGAAAAAGTGGAATGGTATTGATATCTCAGATTTAATTCAATTTTGAATACTGGGCAAATCAGTATAATTTCCTAGATTTAGCTTAAAATATCTATAGAGTGAATAATGTTTGCAAAAGATGATGAGTTTAGGAATTTTGGTCAGCAAGAAAAAGAAAAAAAGATATCATATTATTTGGATCTCTTAGGTGGTTTAGAAACTTTCATTGTGTATGTCCAAAGGAAAGGAGCCTCCTTCTTGAGTACTTCACCTAGACTTGTGCACCAAGGGTTTCCCACATTGGACTTCAAATCTTGAGTTGGTGACAAAAGCTGAAGGGGCAGTGAGCCTCTGGTGTGGCCTGGGTGGCAACAGCAGTGGCCGTGCGCTAGGCATCAGGTTCATGAGAATCTTTGCATGAGAATCTTTCCTTTGACTCCTCACGTTTTCTGAGCTTACTCCTTCCTGCGGTCTTCCTGTTAATTTGGTGCATTACCTGATTCCCTCCTCATATGCTCTTTTTTTTTTCAGTACTAGGACTTGAACTCAGGACCTTGCACTTGCCAGTCAGGCGCTGCACCACTGAGCTAAATCCTGGTACCTGCTCCTCTTTTGGTACACTTTTGCCTTACAATTCACACTCTTGAGATCTGCTTTTGAGCCACTTCCTTGCAAAGACCTTTAATGATGCTCACTCCTATGAGGGAAGGTCAGATTTTCCACACATCGCCAAGTTCTCTTCATCCAGATCATTGTCTGTCTGTCTATCTGTCTATCTATCTTCTATCTATCCAT